GGGAACAAGTTTCCAGATTAATAGAAAGAAGCAAAACTTGTGGTCATTCCTAAACAAAGAAAAACTCTTACCAACTGTGCATCATACTGTGCTATTTCTTTAATTAATACAATGTTAAAATTTATGCCAAGGTGCTAGCAAACAGACTGAGTGTCATCTTGCCCAAATGTGTTCACCGTGGGTGGGTTCATTGCTGGCAGGCATCTATCTGGTAATGTCAGAAGAACTCTGAATTTCATCTATAGTGTTAATTTTAGCAATTCTTCTTATGAACTGCTTTTGTTGGATGTTGAGAAACCATCAACTTTTGCAGTGGGAGAACCTCAGACAGATTTTGGTAAGGTTTGGTTTTGGAAACCAGTTTTATACTCATATTGGCCTGTATACTTCAATCCGCTCCTTTTAATTTGTCTAGGGGTACAAGACAGGGCTGCCCTCCCTTGTTTATTCTGGCAATTGAGTCATTTGCAATATATGTGAGAAACAGCCCCTTGGTTAAAGGCATCAGAATGTCTTCAAGTTTAGAACAGAAAGTGGTGTTATATGCTGACAATATCCTATTATATTTGCAGAATCCAGAAGCATAATTAAAAATTATAGAACAATTGATGTTGGAATTTGAGCAGGCATCAGGGATCAAAAACTATGATAAATCTGGAATTTTAGAAATTAATATTCCCAAAGGGTCAAAACAAACCGTTGTCAGCTACATAAATTTAAATGGGTAAAGGAATCTTTAAAATATTTAGGAATAAATATTGTGGAGAAACAAACATCTTGTTAAAGCAAATTACCTTCCACTTTGGCATAAAATAAAAGATTTGGAGAACTGGAACAAATACGAAATGTCTTGGTTAGATAGTGTAGCCTCAGTAAAGATGACTGTCCTCCCCAAGTTACTATTTTTCTTTCAGTGCATCGCCCTACTGGTATCCCCGACATGACATTAAAAACAGAGCAAGATGCACTATTAAAATTCATATGGGAATCATAAAAGATAAAGGGTGAGTTCTAAAGTTCTGCGTAAGTCTACGAAGTCGGGTGGATGAGCATTCCCTAATTTGGCTTATTATTATTATGCATCACAATTAAAAGATATGATCAACAGCGTTAACAGACCATCCAAACACTGGGTAAAGCTCAAATAAGACTGTAGCCCAAACAATTTATAGTAATTGTTGGGTTCAAAAGAAATTTAGATCACCAAAAATAAAAGCCACCCATTCATCCAGCCCACCTTAGCGTTTTAAAATTCCTGTCGCCAAGCCCTCTCCCTTAGCTATTGTCATTAATAATCACAAATTTATTTCTAGGAAATATCAAAGTGATTATTCATTCTGGGTAAGAGCGGATATTCCTCAATTTGGATTGCTGTTCCAGGGTCCTGATTTAAGATCATACCAAGAGATATGTAATAAAGTAAATAATAGAAAGATCCTGTATCAGTATTTATAAGTCAAAACACCTTATTGTGAAATCTGGATACAAGACGGTTCTATCTAGATCTTTAAACACAACTGAGGAGTTGACCCAGGTGCAAGCTGGAACAAAGGGTTTAATTTCTAAGATGTATTCAATTTTGATTGAAAAAGATGTCGATAGGAGAGAGATCTGGACAAATAAATTGATCTAGATGAATGGGTCTCTATATGGGAAAGTGGATATATATTTTCAATTTGTGTAGCTCACAAAGAAAACCTTTACAAATTACTGTCTCGTTGGTATTTGACTCCAGTTAGGATTCACTGTATTTTTGCTACTAGGGAGGCACTCTGTTGGAGGGGTTGCAGGGATAGGGGAACATACTTGCACATTTGGTGGTTGTGTCCAGAAATTCGATGGTTTGCAGAGGAAATTATTAAAGGAGATTAACCTTATAAGAAAAAGGCCAGCTTCCCAGAAATCCCCTGATTGCTTATTTAATGCTTCCATAAAGGACCTACTTTTTAAATAGAAATACAAATTAATTCCTTTTTATTGTTAGCAGCAAAACTTTATATTGCATATTATTTGAAAAATGTGACTTCTCCTCTGGAATAGTAAAATGTGGACTGTCCTTGTAATGGAAAAGCTTTCACACCAAGTATGTACACAAGAGAAGTGCCAAAAAGAAGATGGGTGACCAAATTTCTAAACGGAGAAGGGCTCCCCAGCCAGCAAGCCAGCTCCTTTAGTCAGGCTCTATGAATATTAACCTGATCCTGAATAAGTAATGTACAATGTAGTACGTTAACATTTTATTGTAACTTGGCATTAATAAAAAATGTAAAATTCTCCTTAATTAAATTGCCAAACATTGTCAGATCCCTAATAATGATTACCATACTGTATCAAAGAATGTTGCAATGTGCAAGCTCACATTGCTTCATTTCAGCAAAAGAGTAAACATAAAAGGACAGCTCAACGTTGAAAAAAACTTTTACGGTTTTTTTTGGGGTGGTGGTGGTAAATCTTCATTCCCTTGTGACTGTCCAAATTCTAACGTTTATATTATTAGAATGTGTATATATTTAAGGGTCAGTATCACAGCCATTAAATTACAGAAATCCATATATTCTGCTCCTTTCTCTCAAAGGGTAATTGCAATTGAGAACTAAAATGTAAAGTTTAATTTAAAAAGTTATACAAAGCCTAATCTTAATAGCTTGTTCCCCTGTAGTATGTGCAACTCAAACACAACAGCATTGTGCTAATTCATGAGAGCAAAGAAAGTGAAAATGAGTAGCCTATTTTCATTATCTAAACAGAGAAAAATTAAAAGAAAACTATTATGATGAAAAATCAGATTATCAAAACCAAAGGAATTTCAACTAACAGCAGGAAAGAAAACCTGGTTAAAAATATTCAAGTATCTTCTTAACTAGTAATTCAGGGCAATGCCAGTTTCCTGTTCAGGGGCAGGACCAACCATCTCCTCATGAGGAGCTCAAAGATTAACCCTTTGAAGCATACTCCAACTACTAATTTCTCAATACTCAAAACAAACTCAACAACTATACAATTCAGCCTTGACTTTTGAGGCTGCTTTTGGAGTGATAGGATGAACTCTGAATAATAAGCATATTATCTATTTTAACACCACTTTGCACATTTCAAAAGAGCCGCTGTAGACCATAATATTGGTCAATAAGAGATCTGCTTAGCAAAGCAAATTTATTTCTTTTCCTGACACGAAATGGATGCTGCTTCCATATATCCATGGTATTTGTTGCCTTTGTTGCTAAACACTGAAATATGAAAGCGGAGCTGAAGTATCAAAATATTTATTAGCCTGGACAATATTAAAACAACAGTGCTGGCTCTGCAGAGATCTCACTAACATTTTTCAAACCAATGCTAATATTTTCAATTCTCTGCTAATTTTTCTCTTGATGATTGAAGGTGGTTTTCATTGAGCCTGAGTTGAAGAAGAATAAGCAAGCCAGTTACAGAAAGTTATGGATTTTCTGCTACATGGTGCTGCTTTGTAGCCCAAGGATGAGGGGAAAGCAATTTCCTGCTGGTTTGTGAATATCAAGTGTTTTAATGGAGAGGCTCCATTTTAAAGGTATTTCAGAACAGAGACATGCTCTGATCTCTTTAAACATACAACATTCAGCATCTTCCGTTATTACAATAAGGATATTAAGAAAGAGATTCAGCCACTTGGGCAAAGTCACTAATGCCAGATAAAGTTA